ACTTGAAAAGGAAAAGTCCCCGGACCCAGGCTGCTTTCAGTGAGCGAATCAAAGGGGTAGGAATCCCCGGGTTCCTGTATGCCTGTTATCCCTTTTTTTTTTTCCTTTTCTTTTCTCAATCCTAGTAAGTATCTATTTGTTTGGTGAACGAACATGGAAAGGAAAAGAAGAAGAGACCGGCCACACCCGCGATGAAGAGATTTTGAACTTTGAAGACATTGTGAAGAGATTGTGAGGCTGGCCTCTCCTCTGGCAATTTCTGAAAACGCGGAATCTAGCTGAGTTTGTTTTTGATAACTAAGTTGCTGGGACCCCTTTTTGGGTCCTCACTGAAATCCGGCTACCAACGACCGTTAGAGATTTGCACAGGCTACCATCGTCACCCGAATAGAATGCGCGGTCATTACCGCTGTATGTAGACTGAAAAATGCACCAAATACGGCTATAATGACCGGGCCTTCTATTCGGGTGAAGATGGTAGGCTAATCCTTCTGTATCCGCCCCCCTCTGGGTGAAGAGGTGTGTTTAACCTTTTAGACTTGGGTACTCCAGTGAGGTCTTGGATAATTGTAGGGACGTTTGAACATATTGTTCGCAGCAGGAGGGGCTCCCGACAAATAGACTGGAGCCATTGATTTGTTTGTTAAAAGAAGACGACGAAGAAGAAGAAGACGAAGAAGAAAATGAAGAAGAAGAAGAAGATCGCAAAGGGGAAGTGAAGCCCCCCCCAAAAAAGACAAAAAAAAAGAAAACAGAAATAAAAAACAAAGCGGAAGTTAACTCAGGGAAGGGAAAAAAAAAAAAAAAAAAAAAAAAAAAGGAAGCCTGTCCGTTGGGACATCCGTTAACTTATCAATGGGTGGCCCTATCTCAGTTGGTACCGCTGTGGAACTAGATATAAATGAAATGAGATGATTTTGAATTACCTGGGGCCCGCTGATATCTCACGGCCATTCCCCCTTTTTCTTTTCTTTTTTTGAAAAAGGAGACATCCGTTAACATTGGAACGATAAAGAGAAGAGTACCATAGTCACTGCGCAAGGATGAAATACATAAATCGTCAAGAAATGGTCCAAATTTATTTCGGAAAAAAGGGATAAAAAGAGAGAAAAAAAAAAGGGGAGAAAAAAAACGAGGAAAAAGAAAAACAAGGAAGCCTCCGTGAAATGTCGAGAGTTGAATGCTGTCAGTATCTGGCATGTCCTGTGCCACACTGGAAGGAGAGCACCTGACCGACTAATCAGGAAAAAGTCCCTTATAAGGGCATACTCACACTAGGACTTCTTTCCCTTCCCCGTGGACGCATTAGCGGCTAGGAGCATCTTGGCCAGGTCGGAAAATCAACCATATACATCCGGAAAAGTGCTAGTGTGAGTATCCCTAAGAGAGGAAACCTGTGTTGTCACTGCCACTGGGAAGAATCTTCCGCATGGACCTGATGCTACTCTACATGCTCCCTGCAACCTAGGGGCCTACTCTGGGGAGCCGATTACCAACAGTGCTATTGTTGTGAATGAATTTGGCTGCCCTTCTGTCTTCGCTAAGCTGCCAATTGCACAATAATGCTTTCCTGAGTCTGCATGGACACGGGATTGAGGCTGGTGGAAGGTAGATGCTCTCGTTGTGAACGAGATTTTGTCAGACAGCCATGGAAATGGCATGATATTTGTTGGCCGGTTTCGAGCAGGAATAGTCCTATTTGACCCAGATCGTAGCCACGTACATGCATCCTGGGCACAGCTTAGTGCATCATTTAATTAAATTAACCCGATCCATATCTGTGGAGCAGACTTGCAGTGCACCTGTTTGCTGAAGGTGTGAATGGTGTGTGTAACAGGAGTTAGATCAACTTAGATGCCTATCGAGCGAGATACTCATTAAATTTGGAACGAATGATACCAAGAAGACTAGCATGGCTCCTGTGCAATGATGGATGGCACACAACGAAAGCATTTGTTTTTCTGAAAACTGAAAACTTGTGAGGGGCAACTGCGAGACGGGTCTGCAGCAAAAAAGAAAAAAGAAAAAAAGAAGGATCTGCAGCGCTGTTTGTTTCAACTAGCAGTCCCCGCGCATCAATCCACGGGTCGCTGCGGTAGAAGTGCTGGCTGCGAAACGGGTGAGCCCACTGGCTGCGGGAGGGTGGTCAGCTGTGTGCGGAAATTTGCATGCACTGATCTTGGCCATCTTCTGCATCATGATTGTTGGGGAAAATTTCTGGAAACAATCAGTGCAATAGATTGAGTGCTGATCTTGTTCGGAAGAAATCACGAAAAAGAAGAAAAGAAATTACAGATGGTGAAAAGTTGAAAACCAAACCGGGCAGTGAAACGTTTGAAAATTCTTGCTTCCTGCTGCTACTGGTAGACACACATGCAAGGAATATGAGCAAGAGCAATATACAGAAAACCAAATTGCAAAGTCACGCAGAAGTCCAGATAGTCGTGTACAAGCAGAGACCTCAAATGCACCAAGATTGCATCCAAATAAGAGCAATACAATGAACTTGTGAGCCAATGTTCAAGCCCTCAGGCCACACCAACGCAGTATTCAATGTCGCTCCTCTTTGTCTGGCACCCAGCGCAGAGCCTACTCTGCTTGCCTACCTAGCCTATCTGCGTTCTAACAAGAGGCTCACTTCAACTTCGAAGACCTATGTACATGTCGTTAACACCAATGCCGACCTCCCACATACACCAGATATGTATCTTCGTCTCCTCTCGTCACCCGCTGTCACCCACTTCTGCACCTCCTCCCGAAGACCTCATGTCGCCCTCCTCTGCCTCGCGCCCTGCAGCCCGGCTATGGCCACTAGCGCCACACTGCCCCTGCACCGCCCGCACCTCTCAGCGCCCGCGCGCGCCCCAGCTCAAGCTAGCACATGCAGACACTCGCTTGCTAGCACAGCAGCGTGTCCGCAGTGCCAGCATTGGCCAGAATGCTCACCTCTGGCCAGCCTCCTTCCTATATGGGAGAGGTTGCGGCTGCTGGACTGTGTGGGCCTGGCCGTGGAAGCTTCCAGTAGCTTTGGGTCGGGCCCCAGTGTCTGCGCCCAGGCCAACTTTGACAGTTACGGGCTTGGGCCCTTTTTAGTTGGCCACACCCAGAACTTTCCAGGCTCCGAATGTTTGCTGCACTTGCACTGGGCCACGTGGTTAACCCGATTGACATAACAAAAGCATAATGGTACACAAAGCCACTTTGAAGTGTACTCACGGGGTAGATACGATGACAATGCTGCTTTCTTGTTGACCCGTGGCCACTTCGTGATGTATCTGCCTCTCAATGCGTGTGCCCTGGGCTCAACCACCCGGGCCAAGGGTAAGGCCTCAAGTTGCTCGTGATGTATCTGCCTCTCAATGCGTGTGCCCTGGGCTCAACCGCCCGGACCCAGGGTAAGGCCTCAAGTTGCTCTTCAACCAACTGCCGTGCAGCAACTGTCTGAGACCCGCATTGGAAAATGCTGAGATAAGGGCCTCTCGTGAATATTCAGGCCCGCCCTCACTTAGGGCGGGGACGAGGCTTTCTGGGGGCCCTCAGAACATATGCATGTTGTTTAAGGGCCCCTGAGGACTCATTCCTCACATTCCATCCCCCTTAGCTTCGAAAGTCCGCTGAGATGCTTCTATGCAGGTGCCTTCCCCTTCAACCTTCGTTCGTAGTCTGCCACAATGCTGTCTCAATTAGTTCCTCTTTGGTGAACCATCGGTCTTCTTTTGGATCCGTGTGATGCCTGAATCTGACCCTGTAATCCCTCTTGGGTTTTGGCGGTCTTCCTCTGCCCACAGGCTTAGGGACAGGCATGTCTCTGTGCTCCAAAATGTCGTCAATGTCCACGTGGCCATCCATGGTTGGGGCAGCATAGATCTCCTTGATGGGAACTGCTGTGTCTCAGCGAAAGGTGCAAGCTTTGAGGTGTGAAACACAGGGTAAGTGCATAGGTGACCAGGGATTCGAATCACATACGAGGGACCATCCTCTTCACTACCCACAATATCCAAGACTTCACAAGGACCGAAGTATTGAGGCATTAGTTTCCTAGAGATGTCAAATTCCTGTCCTAACTCACTAGACTTAACCCAAACGCGTTCCCCTACCTGAAATGTGGACTGTCGACGATGCTTGTTCTCATAAGCAATCATTGCTTCTTGAGATTTCTTGATGTGTTCGACAACTTGCTGCAGCAACTTCTCGTATTGGACACCGAATTCAATGGTTCCAAGAGTTGCAGCAGGTCGGTTTTCAGGCAGGAGGAAGTCTAGAGCAGATATAAGCTTCCACCCCAAGTGCAACTGATTCGGATTGACTCCGGTGGTGTTGTGCATAATGTTGTTGTACAGGCTGGCGATGAGAGGTTTCTCATCCCAGTCACCTTGGCTGGGGTTTATGTTATGCCTCAACAGATGCTGCACCACTCGGTTCATTTGTTCAGCCTGCCCGTTGGCTTTGGGATGATTCCCAAAAGTCATGTGGAGTTGGCTGCCCATTTGTTCTGCAACCTTCTTCCACATTTCACTTGTGAAACGAACATCTCTATCACTAGCGATAGTCTTTGGCAGTCCAAAGTCATGCACCCAGTTATCCATGAATAACTTGATGACGTGCTCAGTCCTTGCGGTCTTTGGCATGGCAATTAGTCTGGCGAACTTAGTAAACCTATCAACTATGACGAAGATATACCTCTTGCCACTCTTGCTGATCACGAGGGTATCCATGAATCATAGCTACGCCGGACTGGACCCCGGACCTCCGGGGCCCATCCAGACTTCTGGGAAACCGGAATATTCCAAAATTTCCGGACCGGACCGGACCCCTGGTCCGGATCATGGTCCGGATCCCCTATACTGTCCGGGAAAAAAAAAAA